GTTTGGCATGCTGTCCCGGGAGAGAGCCCTGAGCTCAAGGGATCCTCGAGCCCAGGGCTCCCCCCCTTTTGCAGGGCGAGTTGAGATTGAGCTCAGGTCTATGTCAAACTCCCCCGCTACTGAGGCCAAGGCAAACTTCCTGAGAGTAAGACATTATAAAAAAGGTTTAGGCTTATTTTATCTATAATATAGAGCACATTTAGATGGTGGGAGGAAAGCGGGGAACCCGGGGGAAACCCACGCGGACACGGGGAGAACATGCAAACTCCACACAGAAATGCCAGATGGCTCAGCGAGGACCCAACACTATTGGTATTCTTGCTGTGAGGCAACAGTGCTAGTCACTGGGCCACCGTGCCGCCCATTCTGGATAAGGAGGAAGAAGGGGGAGGAGAGGGGTTTCTTCCAGACGAAGATAGTTGTAGAAAGGAAATGAGGATATATAAAGTGATTTGGGATCCTTTGATTGGAGGATCATAATTAGCTAATGTGGACCAGCTGGGTCAATCCTGAGCACATGCTCCTCTCGAAATTAGTTTAAAATTAAACTTCACTTAAAATATAGTTTTCTGCATTTAATTTTTTAGTCATGATTTTCAGCATTACTCATTAGCCACTTTCATACAGTGATACTACTAAATATCTGGACAATTTCCAGTACGACTTTACCGGTAAAAAGCACTGTTCACATAGGCAAGGACGTTTAGAATTTTTCCGAAAAAGATTGTTCAAAGATTAGCCCTCTTTCACAATGGCAAATTTCCTGGAAGGTATGTATGTGTGAACAGGCCCTTTTTGAAAATACCGGTAAGTTTGTTCCAGCAATTTTCTGGAGTGATAAGTTGTAATATTGCCGGTAAGTTGGCGGAATGCAGCGCTGAGTGAATGCAGAAGGAAGATTGGCAGAAAGAGCTTGTTTACGTCTAGAACGTGCTGACATGAGACGTCTACTTTAGCCAATCAGAACACTCATTCACATCCGTACATGGTTTATGATCAATTATGTTCAATCATTCATTCATTCATAGTTTTTTCGGCTGAGTCCTTTTATTAATCCGAGGTCGCCACAGTGCAGGCCCGGATTGGCTAATCGGGAGGACCGGGAGAATTCCTGGTGGGCCGGTCCGTTTTTTGGCCGCGAGGGCCGGTGTCCGTAGCTCCAGAATCTTTTGCTCTTAGCAGTCACACTTTTTAAATTTATTTATTTACTTGACCACAGCCTTTTTATTCATTATTTTACCGCAACTCTTCTCTTTTCCAGCGGTTAGCTTGTTAGGTTAAAATGCCGCGGACCCGGGTTCGATCCTCATTAAAGTAACTTATTGTTTTCGTTTTTATTGTTAAGACATATAATACTGTTAGGGTTGTTGAACATTTGAAGTTCTAAAGCAGCTGTTTTTTCAAAAAAAGACGTGATAGTGTCATTAGAAACTGATTTGGAAATGACCTAATTTTAATATAGTCAGTCGTGAACTGAGGTGGGCCGGTCTGAGGCTTGAAACTCCAAGGCTGAAAAGGTGTCCCACTCCGGCCCTGATCCGCCAACTTATCCAGCATATGTTTTACGCAGCGGATGCCCGTCCAGCTGCAACCCATCCCTGGGAAAAAATCTATACACCCTCACACTACGGACAATTTAGCCTGCCCAATTCACCTGTACCACATGTCTTTGGACTGTGGGGGAAACCAGAGCACCGGGAGGAAACCCACGGGAACGCTGGGAGAACAAACAAACTCCACACAGAATCGGCAACTGACCCAGCCAAGGCTCGAACCAGCAGCCTTCTAGCTGTGAGGCGACAGTACCACCCACTGCAAACCACTTAAATCTGTAAAAATTATTAACTTAATCAATTTGTGTCGGGGCAACATGAAGGAAATGTGTGGAACCCACCGTTTTTTACAGTGTGGATTGTATTTACAATTATATAAAATAACCCAACTTTTTATGATTGTGATCATTGTTTTTTTTTGTTTTTTTTTTGAGGAGCTTATAAGCTGCATTAAATTAAAATACCATGATAATTTAGAATAAATTAAATTGACAAATACCATGGGCAGCATGGTGGCGTAGTGGGTAGCACAATCGCCTCACAGCAAGAAGGTTGCTGGTTTGAGCCCCGGCTGAGTCAGCTGGCATTTTTGTGTGGAGTATTTTTGCGTGGCTTTCCCCTCCGGGTGCTCCGGTTCCCCCTACAAGTTCAGAAGAATTGAATAAACTAAATTGGCCGTAGTGCATGGGTGTGTGTGAATGTGAGTCTGTATGGGTGTTTCCCAGTACTGGGTTGCAGCTGAAAGGGCATCTGCTGCGTAAAACATATGCAGGAATAGTTGGTTCACTCCGCTGTGGTGACCACTAAGCCAAAGAAAAACAAATAAATGACATGATGGTAGTTTACATTTTATGGATACAAAATCCAGTGTAAATTTGCAGTTTTTACATTTTCTTATAGTATAATACTTTTTTGTGCCATAATTTTGTCAAAAGGGCATCAATGTTTGGATATCAAATGGTTGTCAAGCGTTCGACATCAAATTGATTTGCATTTTTGACTTGATTTTGATGTCATGCTTGATGTCAATTAAATGTCGTTTTAACATCATTGTGCCAAACAGTCTGTTAGTGTATAGTATTAGCCAGACTTCGGGCTGAGCCAAATGTGTTAGCTATTAAGCCACAGCTTACTGTTACTGTTACTTACTGTTGTTCCTTTAAGCCAACTTAAAGGAAAATAATGTGTATAGATCCTAAATTTGATAAAATCCAATGACTCATTCACTCTACATCATCTTTACTTTCCCTTGATCGCCCTCCGTCCTCTCCCTATCTGAGCTCCCTCTATTTCCATGCACCTCCATGTCTCTCTTTTTTTCCAGCCCTGATCCTTCAGAGGAAGCGAGGAATGGAAGAAGATAAGGGAGAGGTCAGTAACTCTGCTGCATGAGCTCATTTGAGACGAGAGGGTCAGCATGACGGCCCGCCGCTGCCGTCTGTCTCGACCCATCGGACGCGCAGATGATAACTATCCCAGCTGCTGTTTCACAGTCTGGAATGATTGACTGTCTCCATCATGAACCAGATGCCGCTGAGAAACCAAACATGTGGCGTTAATATGGAAATACATTTAGAAGGTTGACTGACTGACGATTAGCTGCTTGTTGCTTTGAATTTGCGGTGTTTATTACGTTTTTGTTTGAAATATCTATCTATCTATCTATTTATCTATCTATCTATCTATCTATCTATCTATCTATCTATCTATCTATCTATCTATCTATCTATCTATCTATCTATCTATCTATCTATCTATCTATCTATCTATCTATCTATCTATCTATCTAGGTCATCCATCCATGCATCCATCCATGCATCCATCCATGCATCCATCCATCTATCCATCCATCCATCCATCCATCCATCCATCCATCTATCTATCTATCTATCTATCTATCTATCTATCTATCTATCTATCTATCTATCTATCTATCTATCTATCTATCTATCTATCTATCTATCTATCAAGGTCATCCATCCATCCATCCATCCATCCATCCATCCATCCATCCATCCATCCATCCATCCATCCATCCATCTATCTATCTATCTATCTATCTATCTATCTATCTATCTATCTATCTATCTATCTATCAAGGTCATCCATCCATCCATCCATCCATCTATCTATCCGCCAAAAAGGATATTTATCTATCAATATATCTAAAAGGTTGTCATCCATTCATCAATCTAGCCATTCATCTATCTATCATTTATCTATCTATCCATCAAGAAGGTTGAATAAATACGTAAACTGGGTAGTCAGAGCTAGTCAGGAGCTTCATCGACTTAAAATATTCTTCCTTTCACATTTTTGGTGAGTGTCATATACACTGTCATTATAACAAATTTAGGCTATTGCTTACTCTTTATTTACAGTAACTTATTCTCATCTGTTTCTAACAATTTCTAAATCTCAATTAGAAATAAAGCTCTACACTTTAGTACAATTTAAGTTTTAATGCCTGAATTATGCTTTGTTTTGTGCTATAATTTTTTAAATTTGTGTGAAATCAAAGGTATTCATTGTTTATTTTGCTAGTGAATAAACTATTTCCGCATTCCGCATTTTTTTCCCCCTGCATTTGGAGTGGCGGTCCTTACTTATCGAGGTCAGTTTGATGGTTTCAACTGCAATATTTTTAACCATGCAATATTCTTAACCCCTCTTACTGCTAGTTTGCTGAGGGAATGATGCGCAAAAAGGATGCCAACCCAGGCTCATTGCGAATACATACCCAGGTCTACATTTCTGGGGACAGAGAAATATGTAACCAGAGGTTGGTGTTCTCACAGTTTTTTGTTTTTGCAAATCCTCTGCTGCTGTTTACACTCTTTGACGATTTCAGATTTCTCTCACACATGCTCTTCTCACAAAAATCCACCAGAGGGTGCAGTATATACTTCAGCCAACCAGGCCAATTTGCTGGAAGACTGACTTACTAAACAACCCACCCACCCCCTACCCTAAACCCAACCGATAGTTTTTTCAAAAGCATTCTTGAAAAAGAAAAGCTATCGTGGCCACATAGTTTAACCATGTTTTCAGCCGATTGTTTATTTATTTATTTAGTTTTTGTTTACCTGGTTTCTGGAACCATTCATCACTGGACTTAAACCCCATCATTGTGTTCAAGCTCCACATCCCAAGTCTGCCTATGTTCGTGGTGAGCCACTGGGCAAACTGGTAATGCCGGAAAAGCCGTCCACTTGGAGATAAGCTGTCAGCTAGTGCTAAAAGGAGCAGAAGCCATTGATGGTGTCATACCACCCTAGCTCTCGTTTTAAAAACAAAATAACCCGACATACCTCTGGCTACATAATTTGCGATCTGTAGATGGGTATGTATCCACAATGAGCCTGTGTTGAAGAAAACCCTGCCGTTACTCAATATTCAGTTGGAAGTACATCGACATATAAATAAATTTTCATTCAGTCAACAAGATAAGTTAAACCAACCATTTAATTTCATACAGTAAGACACCGTTATTTACAGCCAGTCAAAAAAGTTGAGCCATTGTTTGTTAAAAAAAAAAACCTTTAAACAATAACTTTGGTTTTTCTCCCCTCAAGGAAACAAAGTTTATATATATATATAAAAAAAAATCATGAAAAGGCAGCAGAACAAATCTCAGTGCTTTGGAGAGCATGTTCCTCTGTAAACAGTGTAAAAAAAATTACGAGTGTTGGTGCTAGCTGGGTCATGAAGACCTTCTGATTTCCATCCGTCCATCTCCAGCTTTGTTCACTCCTGAATCTGCTCATACGCTCGGGTATGCACAAGTCTTTTGTTTTAAGTTCGTGTTTTAAGTTTGTGTTTATCTGACTGAAGAGGATGTCAGTAGGTGAGGAGGTTTACATGGAATGGGTGGTTTGGCACAAGGGGCGTTTGTGGCGTTAAAGTTTTTCCTGAGCTGTGCCACACGACTGCCGTACGTCAGAGCATTTTCCGTTTCTTTTAGCACTCCTTTAGAGAGAGAGAGAAAGGAAGAGTGTCATTAGACATTTTGTATCATTGCATTATTATTATCATTACAAGCTAAACAAGCCCACTGTTGCAGAAGCTAGTGTGCTGGTTCTGCTTAGCTGACGTCATTATGAGTAAAAACAAACAGCAGCAGGGTACATATTGGTTCAACACTCCAAGGTAATAAGATGACTGATACACACACATTTTTATTGATTTAATTTGTTTTGATTAATGTGCATTGTAGTATTAAAACAATAACATTAGCTAATTATATCAATTAAACAATGCAGTTACATTTATGGGTTTAATTAGATATCTAAATGAGAATTCTAACAATTTATTTAGAAGAAGAAAAAAAAAATATATATATATATATATATATATATATATATATATATATATATATATATATATATATATATATATATATATATATATATATATAAACAAAAATAAAATACAACAGATCTGTCTGGTTCTCGAATCTGATTTTCTGATAGCCATGTGAGATCAATTAACTCAATACAGTTTGACAAATATAGCAGCTCTTGGACAACATAATGTAGTTTTGAGGCTTTTTAAAGAGGAGAATTTAGTTGTTTAGATTGCAACCCTGCAGTTTATTTATAAGGATAGTGCCTATTTTTTATATTTATATTTCATGGATACAGTGCGTCTTCATCTATCAGCCTGTCATACTGAGCAGAGAAAAGACGCTCCTCCACAAAATGACGACAAAGACCACATAATGAGCCCTTAGAAGAGAAAAACTCAGCGTGATTTCAAACTACAGCTGATCAAATCATTATTAATCTGGTAAGTGACATTCTAAGTCAATCTCTCTTTTGTATGTTGTAGTGCTGTATACCACAGTCTGGTAGTGTTTGCTTTTTTGCTTTGTCTTTTTCGGGGTTAATTGTTGTGATATTCTGATTGCAACAGAAAAATACTGAGAAAAAATCTCTGTAGACTGTGGCGTTTCATGCTGTTCAGCCTTATAATCTTAAAATGTGAGCAAAAATCATGTTTTGTCAACACTTTGGACATTACGCTAGAGAATCATTCAAATACTAGCTCTAAAGTGACATTTGTGAATGAGCAACGGTTTCTTCTGTTCTGGCATCAGCTGCAGATGTGAATGAATGGTGGAAGAAAGTATAGTACCTCATACAAAAGGGTTTTTGAGACTCTGCGTTTGATTTTCTTTTTTATATACATGATTATGCCCTCAATCTGTTCTATAAATGAAATATCACACTGGTGAGAGGCGTGCATTAGCACTTGGCCGCAGGGCTTGACTGTATACACACACAAACACATGCACACAGAATTACTTATTATTTTATTATAATATATTTAGGTTATGTAGATCATTCATGGTATTTAGGCCTATCTGCTTGTTAACTGTGATGTCACGCGAAGCGGCTTGCGGGTCCATGTGCTCTATTAAACTGAATGGGGGGACTCATCAAATGGCAATAATAAACATTTACAAGTCGGTGTAATACTTTTTGAAAATCACCATCACAATGTATATTTCAATGCCTAATATCGGATGGACAGAAAGTGATTGATTTTTTATAAATTGTTAAAGTTTTGAAATTTGTGATGCAGCAAGTCCAGAGACTGATTTGTACACTATGATTTTATATAACATTCACTTTATTGTGTGATAGGACTAAAAAGTGGTCATAAATGAATATTTTCTCAATTCAAATGAGTAGCGGCTTGAACCCGGAAACAGTATTCCAGACGTCACGACTTAAGAGGATAAATGCACATGTATTGTTTAATGAGCATTTAATTTACTATATATGTAATTTGCATATATAATAACATATGCAAATAACATGCACCTTTCGTAATGCCTACACATTTAATATTGAATTTATTTATTATAACCTTTTTTTTGCAGACGCTTTGGAAAGGCTTTGGGTTGCCTTAAAATGCTGCATATGCAGGCAGCTTTACAGAGTTTTGGTTCAGAGCCACGGTGACCTCACGAGAGGTCACGACTAAGGAAATAATCAAGCAGAATTTCGTGATTTCGAGACTTTGACTGTCTGTAAATCACTGCTGACTTTAAAAAGCCGTCAGATCCCTGACACAAGCCTGTCGGGGATTATAATACATCCACAGCTGTCTCTCTCTCTCTCCCTCTCTCTCACTAGATCTCCCTCTCTCAATTCAATTCAAACTTGCTTTATTGGCATGCCAAATGTTCCTTATGTATTGCCAAAGCACTCGTAATTTTTACATTAAATAGAACATGCAAAAAAAAAGACATAGTGATAAAAAAAAAAAACATAATTACCAGGATTTAACAATCAACATTTTTAGGATAGAACTAACATTCATTATTCATTTCCTTTGCGGCTTATTCTGCTTATTCATCAGGAGTTGCCACAGCGGAATGAACCATCAACTTATCCAGCATACAGTATGTTTTACACAGCAGATGCCCTTTCGGCTGCAACCAGAAAACCAGAGCACCCCGAGACAACCCACGCGAACACGAGAAGAACATGCACACTCCACACAGAAATGCCAACTGACCCAGCTAGGGCTTGAAGCAGCGATCTTCTTGCTGTGAGGCGACACCGCTAACCAGTAGTGTTAAACACTGAACCACTGTGTCTCAACATGCAACTAGTAATAAACAGTAAATTTAACCAATTATATTTAGCACTGTCACCTCACAGTAAGAAAGTCACTGGTTCGAGTCCCAGCTGAGCCAGTTGGTATATCTGTGTGGAGTTTGCATGTTCTCGCCGTGTTCGCCTTTCCGATTTCCCCCACAGCTCAAAGACATGTGCTAAAGGTGAACTGGATGAACTAAATTGGCTGTAGTGTATGAGTGTGTGTGAGAGTGTATGGATGTTTCCCAGTGCTGGGTTGCGACTAAAAGGGCAATCGCTGCGTAAAACATATGCTGGAATAGTTTGCAGTTCTTTCCACTGTGGCAACCCCTAATAAATAAGGGACCAAGCCGAAGGGAATAATACACTATTGTTTTTAAAACTGAATGGACTGCTCCAGGCACGTGCACACATAGGGCTCAACCTGTGCAGTGCACATGCCCTTTTTAGTCTTGGATAGGAGTACCCTTCCAAAATGATCTGAAGTGCCCCAGCGACAACACCCCCAAACACCCGGGTGTTGGGGTGTCGATAAATTTAATGTAATAGTTCAATTAACATTTTATTTGTTAGATACTAATAAAACAAAATTGGATATATTATTTTTATAGGTATAATTTATACTTGTAGGTATTTACTGAGAGCCCCATCTTGCTTATCTTGCTTATTGGTTAAAACCCACCGCTGATAGCAATACCATGTCAATTTTGACCTTGTGGGAAAACAGCTCAAAAATCACACAGAATGAAGTACTTATAAACAAATTGTAATAATTTACTGTTCTTTACTGTACTTAGATAATGTTGCTGTTGTTGCTTCATTCCAATAATTCACATTATTTTCTTGACTTCTATTTCTCACAGGTGAACAACAGAAAACTATCACAATAATCACTTCAGGTACACCTCATGTGCTTTATTTAGTGTTAAATGCAAACACTGTGAGTTTGAATGCCATTTTACGTGACATTTATTGTCATACTACTGAAAGCAGCAGCAGATAGTTCACCTCAGATCTTGAAAACAGAATAAACCGTTCGAAATTGAACTTTAGAACTAAACATATGAGTGATTCAGCATCTACATTTAATAATCTTAAAAAGGTTTAATATGTATTAATCAGATTATAAACTTTACCATTGTGTTGGAGTGCAGTAAGTGCACTATTCTGTGCTTTTGAATGGCTGTAATTAAATTGCTCTCGTGTTTCGTCTGGTGCAAATAGGCAAATTGCTGTCATGTAGTGTATTGTTAGGACACGAGGTTACAATGTGACCTGCTCATCTAATGTTTACATTCATAATATTTATATAATTTGCTAATTAATAACCACTTCATGTGGAACTCTGAATCTGCGTCTCATTTAGGAGTCTGCTACGGTCCACAGGAGGTCGCATTTCGGTCATGGACGCACACTTTGAAAGCCTTACTGACTGAATGAATGAAATACACGGTTTTCTGCCAGGGCAATGCGGAGTGCTAAAATATAATTGGCTAAAGTGGCAGTGGGTGAGTTAAAATTACCAAATCAAAGATGTTCCAGCACGGAAAACACATTTTAAAAGCAGAATATCTGACTTCAGCATTGTTTTTTCATAAGAACAAACTTTCTCTCAATTCTATATTCAATTTAATTCTATTCAAATGACCTTCACTGGCATGACTTGTCAAGTATTGACAAGTCATTGCACATTACATAAGCAATGAATAAAACAATACAGTGTGCTTATATAATACATAAATACCTACATACATAAACAACAAACGATTAGAAATTCGATAAATAGCTACAGGGGCCTACACTAATTAAAAAAAAACTAATAAATAATTATTAAAAAGATAATGAAACAAAAAAATAATATAAAATAAAATGAAATACACAACTGTACATTCATTCAGGTGATTTGTAATAATTTCTTTCTTCCTCTCCCTCTCTCCTTTCCACCCACTCAGTGCAGGTCTGGAGGTCACCAAACGGAGAAGCAAGGAGAGCGACAGCAGGCAGGAGAGGAAAAAAGTGAAAGGTACGAAGTAAAGGACGAAGAGAGTCGAAATAAGCGGCGAGTGAAGTGGAGGGTAAAAGGCTGTGGAGTGATGACTCAATTTGAATGTGTTAAACGGGGTCAGACAGGCGGTCAGGGAATAGGTGAAGGGTGATGGAGGTATAGGATGGAAGCGAAACGGAGAGATGGCGGAGGCAGGACGCTCCACATCACAGACAGATGCTGTGCTGGAGACTCAGAGGAGGACTGTATTTTTAGCCTCTCCCCGAGGGGTCTGAGCCTCGAGTTCTCCCCCTTCTCTCTTTCCCCGCGAGAGCCTCTCTCTCTCTCTATCTTTCTCTCTCTCTCTGTCACTG